ACGCGATGGTTCCATGAACCTCCCTCACCAGGTGTACAAGTACGTCGCGGCCAGCACGAGCAACACCATCAGCGGTCCGACTGTTGCCGCAATCAGATTGCCGTAGAAGTTAACCTAATGAAACCAGCAGCAGCAGCAGCGGTTCATTGGAGACGAAGACGGTTGGCAACAGCGGCAGCAAAGAGGAACGGTACATTTCAACAACAACAACCACGACGACGACGACAACAACAACAACAACAACAACAACAACAACAACAACAACAAAAACAAAGTTTCAAAGCTGCTGGAGACCTCGGCTTACTCCACCCACATCATCAATCGTCTCGCACCAACAGCGCCTGACACCAAGCAGTCAAGACACCATCACCATCATCATCCAGCTCACATCCATAGGGCGGCAGCCCAACCATAGTACAGTAGAGGTGCCGGTATGTGCCCAGAAAAATTATCGGCAATTTTACCGGACCGGCACTATTCAAAGTACTGAGAATGACTTGGAAATTCAGTGTGTGCCCGCCGAAAACGCAGGCACGATACCGGGCACCGACGCTATTCCAACTGCACTAAACAGGGACCTCTACCGTAACTCACATCGATGATGCACACGGACGTCAAGACCCACCCCAAATCCAGGTTGATGACACTGATGGTAGACAAGAAAGTCTGAAACACCGGTGCGAACTCGATCGACGTGATGGACGCGTACTGCGTTATGATCTGCGGATGCGAACACACGACAACAAAAAGAAGGGAACGAAAGATGTTTGCTTATGCATCGCAGGCGAAAAAAGGAATATTTGCAATCAATCGAATCATTGTACTTCGAGGGTCGAACGAGCCACAAAAGGGAACATGAATATGAAATAAGGACATGCGCGAATGAAAATTAATGAGTTGTTAGGCGCAGATGCTCACTACCTTTGAACTAATTTCATTTCGGCTTTAGTTCCTCGGGCATTGCTGTGAGACGAGCGACAGATCACACACACCAAAAAAAGCTCCAATCTCAACAGCACACGGAGCGTCGTCGGAATGGAACCGTCTCAAGATATTTCCGAAAACGTATCGCTTGACTTTGCCTTCAAAAACTCAGAATATATATAAAAAAAACACAAGATATTTTCTTGTCCCGGAAGGATGAATTACTTGTTGTCCAGGGGCAATCCACTATCATAAATCGGCCCAGGGCGTGTGATATATTGTGAAACCTACGGTTGCCGTTGACAACCTTTTCGGGTACCGAAGATGACACAAGAAACACACCATCTGGACCGATTTTCAGAGCTCGATTACTCCACGACGAAGAGGATGCCTACAGGAAACGATACGTTTTCGGAAAGCTCTCGACCAGACGGCTTCAACGTCGCCACTTCGGTGCTACGACTCTTTCTGCTGATGATAAATCGAGCTTCGAAAATCGGTCCAGGGGGTGTGTTTTCTTGCGTCGCACGTGGTGAACATGACAACAAGAATGAACGTAAGTACGAAATCATAGGCGGTTTGCCGTCAAGAAATAATACAGAGGCGAGAAGGAAAAAAATCAAGGATGAAAACAAGAAGAACTGACAGGGAAGAATCCTTCAATAAAAAAAGGAGAACAATTAAACGACACTCATATGTACAACACGAAGGTCTGGATCAAATACGAAAAAAACGAGACGTCGACCGCATCAACCCAAAAACAAAGGTCTTGTGATTTCTTGTTCCTTCCATCGTACAAGAGCTGTAGTTCTGGGAGGCCGCACGCTAGCATACACACAACCCTGGCACACCAGAACCACAAACAGAGACCAAACAACAACACAAATCAAATAAAACCAATATACCTGGAGCACGACGAAGGGAATCTTGAGCTTGTGGAACGGAATGGTCCGTATCCTCCTCGACATCACCGAGAAGTGGGTCTCGCTGAGGTCGGTCAGAGCAGGATTCCCCACGAGATCGTTGAGGACGATCACCACCCCGACCACCAGCACCACGCCGGTCAGAGCCATCACCACCACCTTCATCGTCAATAACAGGTAACAGGTAACAGGAAGGGGTGGGTAGCGGACGATAGCTACCATTGGTATGTGCCAGTCCAAGGAACGGAGACATCACCAACACCACCAATGCCTCAACCAAGAGGGGGGGGGCGCCTTCCCGATAATTCTACTATTATTCTATGAAATAGAGGGGGGGGGGGGGGGGG